CCGTTACATAAATATGATAAAGTAATTATTGATTTTTTTCTCCAATGGAAAAAAATGAACCAGGTCTGAATAAGTTGTTAATTATGATCACGTGATATCGCAGTCCATTAAAATATTTATAGATTTTCTTACGTCACAGAATAAACACATTAGATATTTGCAACGTTGGAAAATGATAGTACCTCGGATTCTGATGTGGTAAATGGACGGACACTGGAGATAATGACTTGTTACGCTTTGCGATGAATCACGTGACAAGACATCGTTCCTTTCTTTATTTTAACAGTGGTGACTTTGAAGACGAATTTCGCAGTATGCGGTATGCAGATTTTAACAGTGGTGACATTGAAGACAAATTTCGCAGTATGCGGTATGCAGATTTTAACAGTGGTGACATTGAAGACGAATTTCGCAGTATGCGGTATGCAGATTTTAACAGTGGTGACATTGAAGACAAATTTCGCAGTATGCGGTATGCAGATTTAAAGAAACTTATGATAAATCATCATATTAAACCAGACATACTTATTATTTTCCAACTTGTGAAATCTATAAATGATAATAAGATAAAATACGCATACAGGTTTGCTGTCATTATTGTTTAAATAGTTGATATATCTGTAACTACCCCAACCACAAAAAGTATTTAAGAAAAAAACCCTCTCATACAGCATACAGTATTTCAATAATATATGCAAACGACCGTTTAACGATACCGCGAGACTTCAGAGAGAGTAGGGGGATGGGGCTGTTGTAGAGGGTGGTTGGATTGCTCTGTTTTTGAAACTTGCGTTCAGTCCGCAAACAGCTGAACACTATAATAGAATAAAAATTTTTGCTCCACATGACTTTCGTAAACTTTTGTAACACATTCATGAAAATACGCGAGGTATTTGGTCGGTGGATTTGTAAGTTACAGTTGTAGATAGTTCCAAAGTAGATCGGAACCACGAGTAGACTGACCCAACAGGTTGACAGCTAATCGAGTGTGTGTAAAACTGACACAGAGGATTGACTTGTTGTACGCCTGCAAATGTTTTAAGATGATCACTTTGTCGGTCTGACATTGTAGGAATATCGCCCGCTCATCCTATTAAACTGTTAAAGTCTTAGCCGATGATTCTTTTCTCCGGAATCTCTCTAGATATATTTAGAATAAAACAGAACCCATTTAGATTGGTTTCCGTCTCTTCCGACTTTCATCATAACGCTATCGATTTAATAATGAACTTATTCGAGGTGACCAACTGACATACAGATACTTTTAGCATTGGTAACGTCAAATCAGATTTTAGTACACTCTTAGTAAGAACATTACACTTTTTCATGATCCTCATTTCGATAAGAAATGAAGGGTTTGCTGTGTTTTGCACCTTTCATCAAAACCAACAGAAAGCATTGAAATTCCTAAGTTATCGATATTTAACCACATGTTCTCTTCCACAAACAAATTATACTGATGAATGAAGTGTTATATTTTACACTCTATTCTGCCTCACATGTACAGCTTTATATAGCAATTTAAACACGCAAAAGATATTGCGCTGAAATCTATTTTATATTGTCGGAATATGCTACTGCCGGTCAACACTTTCAACCTATTATCAAATACCTAGAAATTTGCGTCTGGTATTGTGTGCTGTGTACAACTTTTAACTGTTTCAGTTATTAAACGTTATGTACAATGCATTTTACTATCACCAATCTGTATGAAATCGTAGTTCAGAAAAAAATATAGTTTGGTAGGACACTACTATAAAATAATTGTTGTGAATTTGTTTTTGAGAATACGCTTTTTTATTGTTTGTTTATTTACATGTATTGATTTTTCAAACAAAAGAATTTTTTGTGTATTTCGTAAATCATGGATGTACGATGTGTTGTACCCGCAAGAAAGAAAAGAAACCACTGATATTGAAATGAAATTATTATGATTTCACTAGAGCTGCTGTATAGCCCAAAGTCCGATACTGACCGCGGGTAATATTTGATGATGTGTGTGTGTGTGTGTGTGTGTGTGTGTGTGTGTGTGTGTGTGTGTGTGTGTGTGAGAGAGAGAGAGAGAGAGAGAGAGAGAGAGAGAGAGAGAGAGAGAGAGAGAGAGAGAGAGTGTGTGTGTGTGTGTGTGTGTGTGTGTGTGTGTGAGAGAGAGAGAGAGAGAGAGAGAGAGAGAGAGAGAGAGAGAGAGAGAGAGAGTGAGAGAGAGAGAGAGAGAGAGAGAGAGAGAGAGAGAGAGAGAGTGTGTGTGTGTGTGTGTGTGTGTGTGTGTGTAACATACGTCTCTGGTACCACTGGATATACAGAATGATTATACAAAGGACACGTAAGTGAATATCATCATCTAATACAAATTTGTAAAGTAACATATAGTTGGGAAGTATTTGGATAGTTTGGAAGTAACAAATGATAGTTTGGTAGTAACAAATGATATTTGGGAAGTAACAAATGATAGTTGGGAAGTAACAAATGATAGTTTGGTAGTAACAAATGATAGTTTGGTAGTAACAAATGATATTTGGGGAGTAACAAATGATAGTTTGGTAGTAACAAATGATATTTGGGAAGTAACAAATGATATTTGGGAAGTAACAAATGATAGTTTGGTAGTAACAAATGATATTTGGAAACTAACAAATGATAGTTGGGAAGTAACAAATGATAGTTTGGTAGTAACAAATGATATTTGGAAACTAACAAATGATAGTTGGGAAGTAACATCAGATAGTTGGGAAGTAACAAATGATAGTTAGGAAGTAACAGATGACAGTTGCGAAGTAACATATTATATTTGGGATGTAAAAATTGATAGTTGGGAAGTAACAAATCATATTTGGAAACTAACAAATGACAGTTAGGAAGTAACAAAAGATAGTTGGGAAGTAACAAATGATAGTTGGGAAGTAACATATTATATTTAGGAAGTAACAAATGATAGTTGGGAAGTAACAAATGATAGTTGGAAAGTAACATATTATATTTAGGAAGTAACAAATGATAGTTGTGAAGTAACAAATCATATTTGGAAACTAACAAATGACAGTTAGGAAGTAACATGTTATATTTTGGAAGTAACAAATGATAGTTTGGAAGTAACAAATGATAGTTGGGAAGTAACAAATGATAGTTGGGAAGTAACAAATGATAGTTAGGAAGTAACAGATGACAGTTGCGAAGTAACATATTATATTCGGGATGTAAAAATTGATAGTTGGGAAGTAACAAATCATATTTGGAAACTAACAAATGACAGTTAGGAAGTAACAAAAGATAGTTGGGAAGTAACAAATGATAGTTGGGAAGTAACATATTATATTTAGGAAGTAACAAATGATAGTTGGGAAGTAACAAATGATAGTTGGAAAGTAACATATTATATTTAGGAAGTAACAAATGATAGTTGTGAAGTAACAAATCATATTTGGAAACTAACAAATGACAGTTAGGAAGTAACATGTTATATTTTGGAAGTAACAAATGATAGTTGGGAAGTTACAATTGATAGTTGGAAAGTAACAAATTGTTTTTGGAAAGTACGCGAAAATTCATTAGTTTATTATTTGTAAAGTAATAAAATATATTTCCCTATACTACTGAGCAAGTGCTCGCTTGATCGAAAATTAAAGGGCACAATATGAGACACCTAATTGATGATTTTTTTAATCACATTTGTTTTCTCGTGGAAGAAAAAGTTCAATCCTATTTTCAGGTTCATTAGTCCCTGTGTATTGCGGCTTGTGTAGCCTCTTGACCTTAACATCGTCATCATAGCTGGCGGTTGTCAAAATGGAAAGTAATCGATTTTTGTCCTGTTGTCACTACGTGTACTTTGGAAGGCATGTATGACTTCAAGAATAAAATATATTAGAACTAGACAGCAACGTAGCTCACTCTAACGCTCCGTTTGAATTGATAGGTACAGGACAATAAACAAAATAACACATATAAGCACATCTTCAGCTAAGATTTTGCTAATGACGACTTTTGTGAGGTTGGCAGACCACAGAGTTAATGTATATGTACATACACATCAAGTTTGCTTTCTCTGCCAAAATATTACAGTATTGCATATTCCAGATGATCCTGTTTTTTAATTACTTATAATGTGTATATTCATATATATTCGTCGTCGTCATCATCATCATCATCATCATCATCATCATCATCATCATCATCATCGTCGTCGTCGTCATCATCATCATCGTCGTCATCGTCATCATCATCATCATCATCATCATCATCATCATCATCATCATCATCATCATCATCATCATCATCATCGTCGTCGTCGTCGTCGTCGTCGTCGTCACCATCAAGCAGACGTTATAGTATATAAGTATATATATATTGATTTAGAAACAACCTCGTGGTTTATTTCAATCATCATAATATCAGTTAAAGCTTGAAGTATAGTGGTCGCATTTCAAATCCTGTTCCCCATTTTCAACTATAAAGAAGATGTGATCCAAAAGCTGAAATCTAATTAACAGTTAAGTGCCAGCTGTAAATTGGTAAGGGAAATAGATTAAGGTATATACTAGCAATATGTTTGTAACAATATAACATATGGAGAATTATATTAACTATGTTTAGTAATCAAAGGCTATAGTCTGTTAATAGAACAATAGAAAATATATTTAATCTCTAAATATCATTTTAATGTCATCACATTAGGAAAACCGCCAGTGACAAATGCATTCAATTCCTTCTTAGAGATCTCTAAATTATTTCGGAAGAACAAGAAGAGTTACGAAAAATTACGACTGTAGTTATTTGTTACCGCGATTTCAGAATTGGTGTTCTTCCATGTCAGTCACACTCGTAGCATAAGCAAGACACGGTGTAGTGTACAGCCGATAATTTCCCCCTTTTGGAGCCTCGTAGCTGAGATATGCGTGCGAATTAAGGGAGGCAACTCTAACGACATATTTCAGGGTCAAGGTAAGATGTATACGCCAAACCGGCCCTCAGTATGTTTCTGACCTAAATAGCTGCCGTGTGGCCTCTCTTCATCCAGGATTTGCAAAATGGCAGCATTTTCATTCGGACTCTACACGATGTTTCATTTAAAACGTCATGAGGTAAGTGGTTATTTATATTTTTGAACGTAGGAGGAAGTGAGTGTTGAATTTCTCAAAGCTGTCGTCTGCCGAGCTTCTGTGTTTACAAGAGACATGCTATCGCAAGTGGTCAGTTGTCCGTTGACATTGAGAGTTCAGGACACTCAGCAACAAGATAACGTACAACTGGTCAAGTGAACATTGACCATATATGCAAAGTACTTGTGTGGAAAGGCAAGTAAACGTATATACTCTTGTTATTAAGTCTACCCTAGCAAGCCGTTTTCTGACATGGAGACCACTCCAGCGCTTGTTAAGTTTGCTTCACACTTTGTTGACATGCAGTTTGTATTTCCATGTGACACTGACGCTGAGTTTTAAATAATCTATCATTAGACCTTTTTATTAAAACAATATATTTCAGATGGAAACGCAAGTTTAAAACACCTTTGTGGATTTAGACTCGTTACGTAACTTGGTTTGTTGTATTAGCATGTAATTTTCGAAGAGAGTGCGGACTTTTCCGGAATACGTCAGTCATTTTATTCAGGTTTGTAATTACTTTAATTATTACTCTCTAAACGAAATCTAGGATTTTTAGGTTTCACTTAAGTTTTAGAACAAGGATCATACTGTTGTGGGATCTATGTATCGTGAAAAATATAGTGTTCATGAAATTTATTTTTTAAATTCACAAATTCAAGTTATTTTTTTTGTGCTTAGAAGTTATCCTTACCTTAGAGTTCAAGAAGCATTTTAGTAAATTAATTAGACCCACTGTTTTATCTTGAATATTTGTCAATGACTTAAATTTGTATTGTTTAATCATAGGAGAGACATGTCGCAAACATTCCAGCTATATTAACATCACACAAATAGTTGTGTTATTTTTCAACATTAGGTTAAACACCAAAGATATAATTGTAAATATAAACAGGAGTTGGAGCATATACCCAAACACCCTATTAAGATATCAAATATTAGTAACATTTTCATGATAGTGTTGATAATATATGAACTTATTCAACACAAAATCCACAAAAGACTTGGTTAAAATCATTGAAGAAATGCACAAGATAAATTCATTCATTTTTTTTAATTGATTCACCCCCAAAATCAAGAATCAGCATGTGTTTATGTGAGAGAAAAAATGTGGACCAATATTTTTGGTTTGTATTGTCATTTGTTTGTATGTCAAATTAACTTGTGAATAAGTAATAGTTCTCATTCAATTAAGATATGAATAAGAAACTAATTGAAGCATGCAAACATTTCTGGGACTGGCCTTTATTTTGACAGTTTTCATGCACAGCAAGGTCAGCTGTTCAGTTGTCTACGTGAATTCAGCTTACTATAGCATTGTTCAAAGGCTTCAATTAGTAGAAGTGAAAGTGCCAACATCCCATAGTTATTATTCATCGGGAGTGGACAAGTTGGCTGTTTTATGAAATGAGAATTGAATTGAGTATCGGTCAGCCATGAAAACAGGTTATTTTGCCCAGAGTACTGTACCCATCATTGTGGTTTTTGTTCAAAAAGATCTCAAAAATAATTCTGATCAATATAAATAAAAATTTTAAAAAATATAATATGATTATGTTGATATCCCATGTCTTCTAAAGATTATCATTGTTTTTCTGCAACATATCAGACAGTGGGTGGTACTTGATATGGTGGTCTAGACATAACTTGAATGGAAGTTGTTTAATTTACTTATGCATAAGCTTGGAATTTCTCTCTGAAAACAAAAAATGAAGCAGATATTGTATTTTACTATTTGATGGTTGTCGTCTGAAAAAACGCTTACATGACCATGATGATCAAAATGCTGCTGGATGTTTTATTTTTGTGACCATCCATTAAATCAACTTGTCTTTAGTTTTCCTGTATAATTTAAAGATAAATGAAGGCTTGATAGTCAATTAAAGTACTGTGCATATTCCCTTAATTGTTGTTACAGTTTTAAGGTAAACCCATAATAGTTCTGCTGTTATAAAGTATTTTAAGAATAACAACTAGTGATTAATCTGGATTTTATAGATCATAGATGTAAGTATGGTTATATTTGTCTGACAAATTGTCACAAAATTTGCATGTGCATTATGGTACCTGAAAAATCATGAAAATTGGATACATCACGATAATGGGTCCCCAATCAATAAGCACTTTTACCAGAATATTTTATTTAGTCACATGTTGGGAACATGGTCCATTCCCCTTAGCTACTGGTTTTCTCTTTGCCAAATAACCAATTTTTTTTAAAAGAACATTTTCTCTGTAGCCTTGTCAAGGCAGCCTTTGCGTATTGTATGACAGAGTTTTGGGCGTGCATTATGCATCTATAGTACTGCATGTAGAGGGAATTAAATGTCACAGTAGCGCATGTCAGTTAGATTAGAGTATCCTGATTCATACTTCTTATGATGTGAAAATCCTGACTTGCATAGTAATGCTCTTTAAAGTATCGAAAAAGGTTACTGACCTTACAATTTTAAACCAAATAGATTTGTAGAAATGTCCGCTAATTACATTTTAAGGTCTCCAGAGCAAAGCTCAGTGACTTCTTCTGATCGTCATCTTCCATTGTCTTTAGCTCTTAACATATTCCCAATTTTGACTTCTGCTGAAAAACCACACAATGTCAATAAAATTTTGCAGAAAGAATCAATGGCTGATGACAGTCTAAAGTTTTAAATTGTATGAGTTTCACTTTCCAAGGACCTGAACGGTAGGACCAAAAGATGGAATTTTAGAAAGACAATACCTTCATAATTTTAGAAAGAAAATACCTTCGTTTCAAGACAAGATACTGAAGAATCGATGATGGAAAAGTCCCAAATGCTTTAGTCAAAATAGTTAATTTCATAACCCCTGGGCCCCACCTTCCGTTCAGTTAGGCAGTTATGTACATTTCATTTCTATAGGAAATTTCTTTTGGGTAAATTTTTAGTGAGAAATAATATTCAATCTGGGTTAATTTCATAACCCCTGGGCCCCACTTTCTGTTCAGTTAGGCAGTTATGTACATTTCATTTCTATAGGAAATTTCTTTTTGGGTAAATTTTTAGTGAGAAATAATTCAATCTGGGTTAGATATTACTGAATGATTGTCCGCTGATAAGATAGCAAAAGTCCATAAAAGTAGTATGAAAGAATAAAAAGATACAGATCCCACTCCTAGGGTGTATAGGGTGGGGATCATGGGGGTGGGGGGGATCTTCTATCTTCTTAACCTCTCTCTAGGATATTTCTCCAAATTTTGTCCAAATTTATTTTCTCCAGGTAACTTTCCCTGTTTTGGTCTAGATAGGGATCAGTTTTACTGTAGGAAAGTCACACTTTGGGAATATTTTGATTAGTTTTAGTGAGAAATAGCATTAATTCTATTTCAGGAAATTTGCCTATGTTTAAGAAATCTTCTCTAGATTCTAGAAGTTTGTCAGCAACTTTGCCTTCATAATATTAGGACTCAGGTGACAGAGCAAGACTCACATAGGAGATGTTTTAAATTGCATTGTGGAATTTGCTTAGTGTTTCACATGACATAAAAGGAAATTAATTTTGATTTTAGATCTATTTGGTACATATTTGCTTCCTCATGTGACTCACAACTGTGTCACAATTAAATGGGTACATGATATTAATATAGCTCATTAATAAAGAGAAGGACACATATTGACCCTTGAGGTGACGGGATCTTGTTAGATATAATTGATGTGATGTAGAAATGTTTAGTTGTCTTATGTCCTACCTATATACATTACTGGAACTGCAAAACTGTCAGCTGATTCAAAATCAACAGGTCAAGAATGTTATGTAAGAAGCCAGGGGTCTCCTGGAATTGGTGTTTGGATATGGCTCAGTGGTATTATGGTTCCATTCCCCAGTTGGATGTAAAAAGGTCTGATCAGTGTGGTCACCTGCCTGACTACTGGGTTTTCACAGTTTCCTTCACAGTGTGACTGCTTACTGCTTCCATCTGGGTCATCAGGAGTGATTTACTGTATGTTTACAGCTTGTTTTGAAATTGTAGTTAGATAGATAAGATTTATAGTTTCCTTTAATTCTGAAACAACACTCTGATTTAGTCAATTTGCCTGTAACATTGTGTAGTTTCTTTTCATCCTGTGAAGCTGTCCTTTGACTTAATCATTCTGCTTACATCATCGTATAATGTCTTTTAATTATGAAGCAGTACTTAAATTTAATCTGCTGGTGACTTAAACATGTATACATTGGTTATACTAAGGTGATATACAGTGTACCAAATTCAGGGCCATCAGTCCCTTAATTACAGAGTTATTGCCCTTTGTTAAAACTTTTTGTCTGGAGCATGACTTTGCTTGCATGTAAACTAGGAAAACGAAACTTGGTGTATACATAAATCATACTATGAGAACATGTGTTATACCAAATTCAGCGCCTACAACCCCTTAATTACAGAGTTATGGCCTTTCTGTTACAAATGTCTTGCCCAGAGCATAACTTTTCTTGCATTTAAGCTAGGATTTAGCCCAGAGCATAACTTTTCTTGCATTTAAGCTAGGATTTATATAATGAAACTTGGTGTATACATTGATCATATGAAGACAATGTGCAGTGTACTAACCTGCAACCCCTTAATTACAGAATTATTTCCCTTTGGTAAAATTTTGTGTCCAATAAAGTCATTTTCATGATGCAGTCATCAGTTACACTGATATGTTTATTAATGTAAGGAAAATTCTAAAGATTTTCAAAGAATTACTGGGAATATATAATTGGTAGAGACCAGAAATGACTTGGAGATCCAAGAAACTTGGATTACAACTAGCAGGTATGAGATTCATATATTAGAGCATTTGGTATTCAATAATTAGAAAATGAAAATATCAGTGTAGTAGGTAGTAATAGATTCAAAGCTCCTAACAAACATAGATTTTTAAAATTGACAATACAGTAGTTCTCTAGTATACCGCCCCCTGTTGTATCACAAATCTCAAATAATGCCATGGCTTTGCTCAAAACATTTTCCCTACTTT